CGCCGGGAAACCCTCGAGAGTGAGGCCTACATTGGCGACGTAGGTACACCCCCGACTCCCGACCCGCGGGTAGATAGCCTGCGTATTGCCACGACCAAAATCAATAAAAACACGTGCGGTAAATTGAGAGCCGAACTGGCCACATGGTTCCGCGCCAACGAGCTTGACGTCCTCATCATTGCTGACGCTGATCTGCCGGCACACAAGGCCACACAACTGTGGACGCCATCACCCGGAGGTGCGCATACATCAAGCCTCATGGCCATCAGCAACCACCGAGTGAGAGTCTACTCTATGAAATACAACGCTGGCACTCCCGCATCGACGCCCGCTCCACCACATACTCCACATCAGGACGTAGTCTAGCTATCACTATCCGCCTTGGGAAAGGCACTCTAGTTACACTACTCGGCACGTATTGTCAAGACAATCCCGCAGCCCACAAGGAGGACACGGACCGTGAATGGCAATGGCTAGCACAGGCAGCTAGCTACCCGCGTCACTGGTCCACATCACTATGTGATCATGGGAGGTGACTTCAACACCTATGGGCCCAACCCCCTCGACCGGTCAGCCCCAACGCTACGCACTGGCGCCAACTATGATATCGGCATTGCTTTCCAGCAATGGACGCAACGCTTGGGGCTCATCTCCACCTTCCGTCACCTCCACCCTACCCTCCAAAGGCACACCTACGCCCGCAACAACACGGCCGTTACTCTCGACGATATCTACATCTCGGCCCGAACAGCCCACAAAGTGGGAGCTAGTGGCATCTGGCTACACACCATCAACTCCAGTGATCACACAGGCACTCCATACATGGCTCTGGACCTCTGCCCCGGCGATTACACCCCCTCCCGGCTTACTGGAGTCCGGCCCATACGCGTTGTCAACACCCGCACCCTTGCCAAGGCGGAAATTGATTCCTTCGGCGGGCACACATCCCAACTTCTCCTGGCAGGTCAACTCCCCCAACTCACCCCCGTGCCCCCCTCTACCGCCGCCACAACGTGGCCCCCCCCAAGAAATCGAGGACTGGCTTGACAGCGCCATCAGGACCTGTATGACATACTCTACACCAGCGCGAAACTTAAATGGGGGAAACTAGCCAAACCAGGAAAGCCCTCAACCGGGCGTTTCGAGAGACGTACCGGTGCCTAACTGGGCTACGATTATCACGCGAGCAAGAAGGCGTGCATGAACGGACGGATTCTTAAATTCTTCTTGAAATCCATGAACGACCGGATGGTTACACAAGACCGCAAGATCTTGCTGCTTGTCGACAATTCCCCACCCTACGCGTTGGAAGAGTACGTTACCACCAAACACGACAATTCACCTGCAGCCCCAAGTTACCGGAATCGTTGATTCGTTCAAGGCCAAGCTGAAGCAGCTTCAGCTACAGAATACACTAGATCACATCAACATGGTTATGGAGGGGCGACAGACAGGGCTCTATGAAGTACCCCTTGTTGAGGCCATGGCCTCGGCGAAAGAAGCATGGCGATCTGACTCGCCTGCAACCATGTCGAACTGCTGGGGCCGAACTTGCATCCTGAACAGTGAACTCTCGGTTTTGAGTAATAGGTTGGATGCAGCCAAACTTGGGTGAAAAGTAGTACTACCTCCGATTGGAAATGATTAATAGGTTTTACTTTATTGGCCTTGAACGCTTGTATCGCAGTCAAAATTGACGATGGGTACACTGCCATATAGAGAATTTCACAAGAAATCCGATTTTAATGTTTAGAATTATGGTCAAAACCGATCTGGAATGATGCTCAATTTTCTCTGTGCTTTCGTATAGTATCTATACATCCATATCTGATTTCTCCTGGACTTATCTGGTTGTAGAGGTTTAGGCAGAGATATGTGGTGTAGCAAATATTAAAATACCTGTATAATATAATAGTTATTATACGTAACCGGTAATTCTATCAATGATTTCCATTCGGAGTTAGTACCTGTCAATCCGAATATCCTATGAAAACATCGATTTTTGCTCTGGTCCAAAGTCGGGGGGAAATCAGTAGGTGAAATGTAGCTTTGTAGAGGTAAGTATACACAAAGGTTATGGGTTTTGTTCAGGTCATACACCTGGTGTTTGTTGATATTGCAGGGGAATTATCTAACATTTGGTGAATTTTTTGTAACAAATATCCACCACCTTCCGATAAATACCCTGAGTAGATACACTATGTAAGTACGTATTGAAATCTAGTATAGTACACTTATATAATTGTCACATTAGAAGTACACAATATATAGCTTGTGAGAAGTAACTCCAATGGCATTGGTGCGGCAACAAGTTCGTGGTGTGCACGTTTTTGGTTTCGAAATGACGACACCATATTGGCGTTGGATGGCTAAATGCTTTGAATTTCAAATTGTATCGATTTTTTAATCTCCTGTTTACAATGAATATTTATAGCAGTTGCTCAGGATATTAATTTATACGAGCTGCAAAAATTGAGTTTTGGAATATCATCTGTAAGGCATTCCTCCGCGAGGGACGATACTATAACCACAAGTTGTGGAACCGCTCCGCCAACCTGCATCTTCGGTTTTTACTTCGCTCAACGCTTCATACCTCATGCTTCGCTTCGACCGATCTTCTTCGAACACAGCCCTTTTTATCCGGATTCCCCAAGGGAGGGAGGGACGAATAAATCCTTGCGGAAATAATCCGTGGAAGCCGGGGATCTCTCATTCCATCATGGCATCCAGAGGTCACATCAAAACATTATGAAAGTATTTTGAAATGGGAATTCTCTGTCAGAATATTATTTTCGTATAATTTACTGTGGCATCCAGACTCGGCCTTAATGTACAGTACTTCAAATCACCATATTAATACGTCACGTCACAATGTATTTCAAATCACCATTTTAATGCCTGCCCCCCAAATTAAGTAACGTTACTACATCTTTGCCCCCCTCAAACTGCAGTCTAGAACTCAATGTTGTCATGGGGTAAGGACTTTGAAATGTAAAAGGGGGGGCGCAACTACGATTCAATCTATCCCAACTAACGTTTCACCTCAAATCAGCACCCCCAAACTTAAATGCCGAATATGAGTATCGTGTACAGTACCAGCCCCCGTCACTTATATCTATCTACATGTACTGCAGTTGTTCTCTTATTGACCGATAATTTTCGTTTAGAATCTCGTAAAGCGCTCAATTATGACCATCGTATGTCGCTAATAAACACATACCTTGCATCTACTATCGATGGAACTGGATGCCATCAATGCTTCAAACTATATCTTCACTACAACTATTAAACGTTTGAAAATCAAGTGAAGCATAGTTTACCAATATTAATTAATATTTAATTTCATGGGATTAATAGTGAGCTAGAATCAAAAACCCTTGTGTACACAACCGAAAGATGCACCCGGCACACTAGCTGTTGCAACTTGCCCACCATGACATCCCTCGCTGCTGAGGGACACGTGAGACTTCTTGAAGTATGTAGCGTAAAGCAACCGCCTCATATTCGCGAAGTCTCAGACTTTGCTCGGCAATCCCCTGAGGCGTTTGAACCAACCTGTAGAATACTCGTCACGACACAATTAACAACTAACGTTACTTGTGTATGTTACAAGCACTCCATTGGCATCAAAATTGCCTATCGTGGCAGCTGCATACTAGTGTTCCAGTGCGGAGGCGTCCAAGTTGCTCATAAATTGTTAACAGCAATAATAGTAATACATATTATTCTCCATGACGTGGTGCGTGCTCATGGATGCAATCATCGTGACTCGCATCCACAGCACTGTACGAAAGCGACTCGCCACCATCTTCCTGGCCATCACACTCTCCGCCACTTGTTCGGCAAACTCGCGTCAATCGGAGCAGAGGTAGCCACGTTGCCAGACAGTGATGAGGTGAGTCTACGACGTAGGCCAAGACCGCCGTGTCCAACTGGTGTCGGCAATGGAAGCCGAAGCAGAGTCCGCCCAGTCGGCTCTGCGACTTGAAATTCTATCGTCACTTTGTCGCGACTTCTACAGAGTCAGACAGCAGCGTCGATTACTTTGATCACAACGCCATCAACGCCGACAAGATGGTGGTAAGCGAAGAGAAGTCACTGCCAGCGACTCCTCGAGCGTACCTCTGTCGATGGCTGATGTTGCGTATCATTGCGTGCCATTCCTGGAGATAAGCATACCTCATTGTCGAAATTAACGTGGGTTTCCACTCAGGCTGGTCGAATGATGGTGAATTTACTGGCTGGAGTTGGGCTTTTTGCGGTGCGAATTATCCTGTATTATCAGTTCATCACAATACTGGAAGTTGTTATCCGAACACTATGCGGATATTGGTGTGTCGATTTACTGGAATGCGGAGGAGATGATCTTATGCAGTGAAGCCAAAGTAATACTACCTCTGTCCCGGTTTACAGTTAAGTGCAACAATGACAATCCTTGAAGTTCCATAATAATTGCAACAATTGTACTACTGTTACAGTTGAATAAACACAATTCATGACAATACAAAATGCAAGATATTATTATTCAATGTTTATATCCAGAATTCTCAAGATATCAACCTCGTCGTCGACATCGTCCACTTCAAGGTCAAGCTGTTCCAATTCCGTGCAAAACTCACTCATAGCTAAGTCCTTGGCTACGTCGTTGGCCAATTCAATAATCATATTGGAAAGGTCGCAATCACT